TTATCTTGTTTGGATCAAGAATTCAGCAAGTACTTTTATCTACATATAGCAAAAATAAGTATTATCAGTACCACTATTACATCGGTATTCAACTTCTAGATAGGATGTGCTGGAAATTTGACCTCATAAAGCTACTGCTACTCGCTAAGAAACTTAAATGCTATAAGCCTATAACTATTTGCACTTCAAAATTCTCATTTCAAAATAAGTTTGTAAGTTCTAAAACCCGGTTTTTTGTTTCCCTAATCGATTTTCAAAAACCCGGGTTTTTTTTTTCACTAATGGATTCTTCTATGGACCTCACGGGCATCATTTTCGAGTCCTATACACTTGATGCAAAATGTATCAATATGCTGTTCAATTCTATCTCCATGAACGTCGATAAAATGTATTGTCTAAGGCTTTGGAATAGGGCCATCGGGGCATAGTTCAGTGGTGCAAAGGACATGAGTGAGGTAGTTTCAACCGAGCTGACAGTTACAATGTGATGGTTCAATTCTTGCATCAATGTATGGAATTGGATTCTTTGTTGGCACCAGTAGGTAGCTTTTGTATCTTGACCTGCTGAGATACGTTCCGCGATTTACCTCCTTCACAATGCTCGTGGGACGAGATGGGGCGGGGTTCAATCTTTTTTAAGTCTTTGGAATAGGGATCAAACATACCCCAATGCAATTCAATTTACTGAGCAATGATTAGTACAAAATGTACAGAACTGGTATTATTTATGTAAGAATGATGTCACATTATGCTTAGGTAAAACTGTATTTAAGTGTTACCTTTGCTTGTTAAACAAGATGTGTCAGACGGACAGTGTCTCTCTACTCAGTCACTAGAAAAATTCAGTCAGTAATAGGCTGAGCTGCTGTAATGTACAAGTCAACAAAGCAGAAATCATAAATTTGGTACTGTTGCCGTATGCTAGGCGTCAATGCACTTAATTCACCCAGTAATTAGTAGCAAATTTTCACTTATTCCCAGCGTTCAACTACTGTTTTGATCCTTGATGTACAACCCAACTTTGCTTCTTGTGCTCAGACCTAGATTTGTTGAATTCTATTATATTGTGACAATCAATTCTGGTCTTAAAATGAATGGACAAGGAGAGAGTGTATAACGTGTGAATCGTTTGGGAAGGAAAGATATGGATTGATTTCTTGGGTTATCCCATTTGAATATTTTCACATAAATAGGATTCCACGTGACTGCAAAATCTGAGGTTCACAGGATGAACAAGGATACGAAGTTTGCATGAATTGTTGGTTCATTTACACTTATGGTAGATTGTGTGATACCATCACTTTACGAGTGTTTTTGTTTGGTCACATACTATAAAGAACAAAAAAGTGGTACAAAATACTCGTTACATTTGGACAGTAAAATTGATAATACTTTTGTTACTGTTTTTCTTAAATTCGATTTGTTATCATATCGTTAATGAGAATACAATTAAGGATCCGTTTGACAGAAATTGTGCTTATTGTAGAAAAGAAGCATGAAGAAGTCACATTAGACCAACATCTTCTAAAAGCCTTCAAAATCAGACAAAATGCTTCTAGAAAATTATCTAAACACGTTCAAAAGTGTTTTATATTTTTCACAAAGCGCTGCCAAATATGCCCCAAGAAATGAATTTATAATAGTGCAACCACGTCGACTTGGTAAAGAGTTAGATCAACATGTAGAAAAGATATTTCAAGAGAAGTGATAATGAATTTATTTAATTTAGTAATGGAAAATTGCCAATAGATGATGATCAAATCCAACCAAACTTTAGAAGATAAATTCTATCTTATCTAGATATCTAAAGGTATATAAAGTAGTCCCCAGTGAGACATCTTTTAACAAAGATACACTTTAGAATTTTCACTTTTTAATTAATAAAGATGAAAGGTGTGTTTTTAATAAAAAAAAAAAAAAATTTAATTTAAGGTCTTCTTTGAAAAAATAAAATAAAATTGGGAACTGGCCATTGGATGGGTTCAAAGCCGGCCCATTGGACTATAATTAAAGTGTCACTCTGTATCCAAAGGCCAGCCCAAAAGCTATGACAGAGATTAGCCCATTCTTTCTCAATTATTGGACCGCGTCATACATAAGCTAAGATGGTTTAGCCCCTGTTTGGTAGGGATCAAAATTAGATTTTTAGTAAATTTTGATAAAAATCAATAAAATATGTGGTTAAAATTAATTGTTAACTTTAATTTATATTTTAATTTCTACCAAACAGAGGCATTATTATAGTGTATTTCTCAATCGTTACACTTTATAGGATCTTATTTTCGGGAGAGATGGAAAATTCAAATTCGAAAGAATTTATTATCCATCTACATTCAAGTTCGAGAGTAACACGATGCATATTAATTTAAAATAGAATATAAAACATTAAATTCGAGTAGAAAATCATTTATAATTTAAGACGTAACAAGAATGAATAGCAAAATAGATTACAAAATAGTTTTAAAATCGTAATGGTATCGCTATCCAGCGACGTTGAGATATAATCAAAGATAGTAGCAATTAGTTCAAATTATTATGAGTTGCTGCTTTCTATTGCATTCTCTTCCATACAATTCTTATATCAGGTGCCATATTGATTTTTATTTTCATAAATTCAATTCGTTTTATTCTCGTAGAATGAGAATGAAAAATATAGTAGTTATTGAGCCCCACACAAGAGATAGAAATTCAAAATTAATGGCTTGATGAGATGAATAACTGTCATATTTTTCATTTTTATGAATGAAAAATGAGAAATAAACCGATCAAAATTATTATGAAATTTCCTTACATATAAGCAAAAATATTGATCAAAAAGGAAAAGGGCATTACTCAACACTTTTTTAATTGATTCCACAAATTAATGATATGATACATTTCTTTTGCTGGATTTTTACTAATGAAGTGGCACCAGACCAAAATATTGATTCTAGCTGGCTAACTTCAATCCATGGTCCTTCTTCAAGAATTGTAGTTTTCAATTTTTTCTGCAAGTTGTTTATCAATTAATAAGAACAAAATCACACATGTAAAAGAGAAAAATAGATTAAAAAAATGGGTCCAAAATGAAAAACTAATTTAGAAGAAGAAACAATGATTATTCAAATGTATTTTTGAAGGAAACGTGATATTTAGTATGTCATGTAACGATCCAAGTGTCTCTGTGTCCAAATCGTTATATTATATGTACTGTCTACTTTGAGAGAGCATATGTCCTCTTATCACTCACGAATTTATCTTGCATCCTCCAAGATTTGAACTCAAAATGGACAATACGTATGATATAATCATTTGAACACAAAGACTCAATGTTACATGTTGAATTGAATGAGATGAGAATAACTTTATCGCATGCACCTTTTGTTTACTTATATAGGCTCAAAAACTAACCTCAGACTTCTTTGGCGCCACAATGAGCGAAGCATTTCATCTCGCAGAAGGTGTAGCCATCGCCCCTCTCGGAGCACTGCGTGTGGCAAGCGTCGTAGCATTATTTGAATTCTTCCTCCTCGGTGGCTTCAGACTTTTGAATTTGCATAGTTGCCATCACGACGAGGCACAAAATAAACACAGCAACAATTTTATTGGCCATTTTCTTTACTTGCAAATTCTCTTAATTTTATTTTTATTTTATTTTTTTCTTTGGACAAATTTCTTGAGGATGTCATAAGGACATATCTAAGCGGAATGGCACCCGAAAATACTAGGAAACTTGTGGTTAGTTTGTATTATTCGAGTAATTACAAATTAGGTTTTTGCTAAAAATAAGGCTATAAAGTAGTAGAAAAACTCGACCAACCTTCCTTGATTATTGAACCGAGTTTAAGGGAAAGAAATGGTCTTCCCACGGTGATTCAATATATAGAATTTACGCGTTGAAATTGTCGTTATTCGAGTCGAGACAAATCATATACTTAGTGGTTGTTTTTAGGTTTGAGCATGGAGAGGAATTTATGATCACGTATCAGAAGTTAAACTAGACAGATGTTTGTCGACTGTTCTCCCTAATTTTATTCTGTCGAACGTACTAAACATGTCATTAGAATATATAATCGTCCCTTCTTGTGCAGTCTTTGAACAATATACAAGATTTAAAATACAAATGATGATAAATATAATGCAAAGCTATGAGAAAGATCAGAAGGTATCTGATGCAGGGATGGTACAGCATTGGAGAGGTACAAATAATTTTGAAATTGCCATTTTTCTTTGAATCTCTATAAGGATCGAAGTTTAGTATTTGAGAATCCTACTTGCACAAGTTGTCTTTTATAGGAGGAGGAAAATGTAGAAAAGTACTGTCACATTAATTTAGGGACAAGCTCTTCAATATCTCACGTTCTGTGATTATAGGTCGAGTGAAATTTTATGATCCGAAATTGACAGTTTCGATAACGTGAAGACTCGGATTCAAAGATTATAGGTTTGGGATCTGGAACCTCACTTTTGAATGTTGGTGGTTTTATAACTACATTACTTGAAAAGTTAGAGATCGTAACCCTAACGTATCTAACCATGTTTGTGATCAAAATTGCATCAAGCCAGCATGGGTGGGACTCATAACTTAAAACTTGTTTGAGATAGCTTCTACTGATTTGGTTTCTACTTCTTACATAAGAGTTTCACGAGAAAGTCACATTTGGATAAACTTCCTTTAAAAACCTTTTAATAAGACAAAATATTTCTAGAAAATTATTCAAATAGGTTAAGAAGCAACTTTTTATTTATTTATTTATTTTTTGTCTTAATATTAGCCTTTGATTTTATAAAGTCTAATCAAATGGGCCATACGTTACCTAAAAATCGTGGGAACCGCAGCTTAAAAGCTGTGGCTCATTTAATATTTGACAAACATGCTCGTATACATACTCATGCAAACCACTTTATTTATTTTTTTTTATTGTAATTAATGGCTTACATTCGTTTGTGTCATCAAGCTTTTAGTTCTTACAATGGAATCTAGACCTCAAAAAAAAAAGGAATAAGACAACATAAGAAGATCAGAATAACTTTAGGACAATGACTCCAACAAGCATTATCACAAGAGATGACGAGGAAACGATAGATGGATTTGAAGCTGAGTTGGGTGTGAGAACTGGTTTGATCCCCGGGTTTGCTTTCGGAACTAATGAACCTTTAGGTGAAGCTGACGGTGTAATATCGAGTTGCGTTTGATCAGCTGGTGGTGGTGCAGCTGCTGCTGCGGGCGCTTTGGAAGCTAAACAAAGAAAATGAACAAATAGGCGTGGTTAAAACTGAACGTACTATTATGAAAATATAAGTAACATCATATAATTCTATTCTGAGAATGTTACCTTTTGGACTATGAGCATGAGGAGCATGAGCAACAGGTGCTTGAGTTGGCGCAAATAAGGCAGGACCTGAGGTTGTTTGATTAAAACAAAAGATAACAAAGATTTCTTCATGCGAAAGAACAAAATAAGAAATCTAAAAAAGGCAAGAAAACGCTTAATGCCTCGACAAAATTTCACTTTGCTTTTCTTCTTTAATACTATTATTATTTAGGTCAATACAATCCATGTTATTTAAAAAGTCATTAGTCTCTTAGAGTTAACCTGGAGCTGGTAAGGCAATGCCGGTGGCTGCAAAGTATAAGAAAATGATTATTAGCGACGAGATTAGCCTCTAACGAACATAAAGTGAATGTATGATGAGCAGTATTGGACGATTGGACTAGAAATATCATCCAGTACTATTTAATTCACCATACCAAAGATGCCAGAAATCCATTGGGAAAGATCAAACTTTACCTTTGCATTGTAACGGCACGGTACTGTTACACATTCGAGGGAGTGAAATCGCCAAAGGTCTACTGATAAACGGTATTGAGACTGGAACATTCCCAGTTACAATGAGGCATGTACAATCCATGCTATCACTCGTGAGATTTTTCAGTGAACTGCAGCATTCTGCAGGTGGTGAAGATCCAGTGCCACTGCTTCCAGTCAAGTAATTAAAGCATGGGGTGAAGCTGCTTATCGTTGAACTTGTACATGCTGTGTTAATTTGCCCGTTTACTCTAAAAGCTGAAAGTAACAATAGAGATAATATAAGCATTGCATTTAGACATGAATATGCCATGAAAATTTCCATGGATTTCAGTTCCTGGAAAAGAAATGGAGAAGCAAAAACTTATTATAAGTTGAAGAATTTAACTTCTTGGTTTACTTGGGGAGAACAAAGTGGTAGATTTAAGGTGGTTCTTTGGAGATCAACTACTTCAACCAACAATTATTTGAAGTCAGCTGCTGTTTTGACTTGAAAAGAAGGATTTCCATGTTAGGAAGGGATAGTTATACTTCTTGCTTTGAGGGTGGTGGTATACTTAGCCCTGTTTGCCTATTAAAATTATAATTCATTTTTTCTTTTCTTATCAATTACACATTTTTTAATAAAATAATATTACACATAAATATAAATTTTTTTCTTCTTTTTTAACCACGTACTCTTCAAAAAATTACTATCCCAAATTTTAAAATGGCAAATAATGGGACCAAACGGGGTTTAATCAAAACCTCAAGTAAAGATAAAAATTAAGGGAAATTGCAGTGGAAATCTCTAGTCTATTAAATTTGTGTAAACGGGTCCCTAAACCTTTTTTTCTTGGTAGATTGGTCCCCATCGTTTCAAATTTGTAGCAATATGGACCCACTACATGGTTTTTATCCATGTTGCCTTAGAAAGTCAAGTTTTGATTGAAAGCGATTAAACCCAATTGAAAAAAATAAATAAATAAATTCCTCCCTTTTCCATCCACCTTCTCATTGCCTGCTACTATCACCCTCAACCCACCAGTGCCTAACTGCCATCCTAGGCAAAGTGGTGGGAGAAATGAGGGTGATGTGGTGTGGATAGGGGTCGGGTGGCAAGGTAATGGTTTGTCTTCTTTTTCTTTTCACTATGTTTTGTTTCTTAGAGCATGTTTGAACCTTTTTTTTTTGGTCAAAATGCAATTTAAAATAGTGATTTGATGAAAAATGTGTGATTAAAAAATTTGAATTTGCGTGTAATATTATTTTATTGAATAATGTATAGTTGAAAATAAGAGAGAAAAACATTTATTTTGAAAATAATGAAGACCAAACAAAGGCTTATTTTATCCTCGACCTGTGTTTCATGTGCCTTTTTTAACCACATCATGTATGGAAAACATTATTTGGTAATCAGTGCACTACGAACTTGAAACTTTATGAATCTATCAAGTAAAGAAAGTTGAGGACCAACTTGCTAGAATACACATAGTTGGATACTTCAACTGCATTTTTCCTTAAAATTTTTCATGTTCTCATAGTTAGGGGTGTTTATTAAAATTACAAAAAAATTTGCAGTCCAATGCTTAGATGCCTTTCTTGGTAAATCTTCCAATGTTTAAATTTTCTGATTTTCTTCTTCAATTAAGAAACTATAATCCATTAAGTTCAAAAGTTGGCCAACCAAACAAACCTATTTATTTATGTGCTGTCCTCCCCACCCCCCACCCCACCCCACACCCCAAATACCTATTTAATCCTTGGCCCTTTTCCCTCTGTCGCCAACTTTACATTTTCAAGTGCTCAAGCAAATATTTTCCATTCTAATAGTCCATCTTCCCTAACCTCTGAAATTTTATATTTTTTGTGTTTAACATTTGTTTTAGTAAATGGCTTCCATAGCACGTAAAATAAGTCTAGTCCTTGTTCTTGTAGTCATGCTTTGGGATGGTACGAAAGCTCAATCGGGTTGCACTACAGCCCTTGTGGGCTTATCTCCGTGTCTCAACTACGTTAGTGGAAATTCATCAACTCCATCCTCGTCGTGTTGCTCCCAGCTTTCGAGTGTAGTAAAGTCGCAGCCACAGTGTCTTTGCTCACTGTTGAATGGTGGTGGCGCTTCCTCATTAGGCATCACGATAAATCAAACTCTAGCACTTGCATTACCCAAAGTTTGCAATGTACAAACACCTCCGGTTAGCCGGTGCACTGGTAATAATGTCGATTATGTCACACTCTTCATGTCTCGTTTAATTATTGCATATAACTAATGTAGAATCTTTCCTTTTTTAACTATTTGTCACCTTATAAATAAGATTTTTCTCGTAGTTTTTAGCCAGAATAGTTATACAAGTTCCAGTATTCATTTCCAAACTAACACATAATCTCAATTGAATTTGATTTGCTTGTAAATACAGATGCAAATGGAGGAACAACTTCTGCAGCTACCCCGGCTAGCTCTCCCGCTGAATCTCCTGCAGATTCCTTCGGTGAAACTCCTGATGTTCCGACCATGCCATCAGATTCAGATATTCCATCAGGTATTAATAAAAGTTCAATTGAGACACAAATCTCACAGAGTAATAAGAATATGAGATTCTTAAGTTTTCAGAAAGTCGATGGTACAATGAACAAGATTTTAATTTGTATTAGGAACTGAAATTTATTTGAATGCAGGGACAGGATCTAAAACAGTTCCAAAAACGGACGGTGCCTCTGTTGGAGGAAGTAACATAAATGCGCCATTCAATTTTGTCGGCACCCTTCTTATCGTTGCATTATCTGCTTTGTCTGCCACCGGATTTTGAGATTAGACAACAGATTAAGGGGTTCTTACGCGGTTAAATTTGTGTACTTTTTCCATTAGGAGTAAAGGGATTGTACTAATGTCATCAATATTGCCATTCTCTATTCCTTGTTCTATGTTCATTGAAAGAATTCTGTACCAGTTATTATCCATGTAACTTCTTCGACAGGAGTCGAGGCCTTAACAGATTCTCCTGTACTGTACCTTTACGAGATTGTTTATGGAACTTTGTTTTTGTCATTGTTTGGGCATCATTTGAACTCTTTGTCGTTCTTCTTGACACAGCTTATGCAATATAAAAATTGTTGGAATCTGATCTGAAATATTCGATCCCATTATGTACCAAGGATGCAAAAATGATTACATTAAAATGAAGGGTTAGGGCATGTGAGCCGATGTAGGCCTTGCCATTATGTACCAAGCTAGTCCAGGGTCGTGAGGTGAGTGGCTCCGCTCGGTCATTTTGACACCTCTAAGTTCAGGTACACTAAGATAATTGGCTAGTTGGCACTGAGATAGAAACAAAGACGAGGCACAGTTACCTACTCTTAAAGGCAAAAATTTCACGTCTATGTACCCAGGAAGCCACATTGCTTTCCACATCAGTACTAAAACTGGAAAAAGAAAACTTGTTAACTATAAATATTAAAACTTGCTTTTACCTATTCCTGTTAAGACAAATATTAGCTTTTCCCAGTAAAATGTTTCCACAGAAGTTGGTGAACTGAGCCGTGCTGTAGGGAGCAACAAATAATTAAAGAACAGATAAACAAAGTGGATAAAGGTAGGTAACAGACTTTCATTATAAGATAAGAAATTAGCGCAACCTGATAAATGTACGGAATACTTAATATACCTCAGCATAAAAAAATCATGGTCGATCATGTAAGTCTACGTTATGATTTAGGTCCACACAGTCGACATGAAAATTCAGAAGACATCAATCTATCATCTGAAAGATTTCTAGGTAAGTTATAGCAGCAGAGCTCATTGCACCCACAACAGTGTGTAATCTCTTGCTAAAAATCAAATCATAATGTAAGAATTTCATGATTAGCAATGCCGTGCACAGTTAAGGATCAATCTACCGATTTCTGAATTTTGAGAGCAATAATAAGTAACACTAAAATCTAGAAACAAGCAATGCAAATACGCATGCCTATAGTGGTTCATTCTGAATGTGAGAGCTACATCCACTTGCTGCTTTAAGTTTTCACTATGGTCCAACACTTTTGGTAAGAAAATGGTCTTTCTTTTAGAATTTGTATTGTATGTAATAGGAACGTTAGCTTTGGAGCAAGAAGATGTCGATGTCGGCTAGGTATACCAAAGGACTTGAGAACTATATTACTGAACCATATTTAGTTATCAGATACCTTAGTTTTATGAAAGTTGGCCAACCAAAGTACTAAATAAAATTGTCTCTTATGTTAAAATTCTAGTATAAATTCACTATAATCTTCAGCTTTCCAGTTGTGGCACACAATTTTTCCGTGGTTTAATAGTAATTCTAGCTTTTTTCAACATCAGGGCGATACCTTAAACATCACTTATGGCACCTAAAAGAGTTGAGTTTTGTTTTATCCTAGTCCTTTTCTTTATGCTTTTAGGTGGATCCATGGCACAGTCGAGCACGAACTGCACCAGCACACTCGTGACCTCTCCTCGTGTTTAAGTTACGCTACTGGAAACTCGTCCACTCCATCATCATCTTGTTGCTCGTCTCTTGGTAACGTTGTTCAGTCGCAGCCCTGGTGTCTTTGTAGTCTACTAAATGGTGCTGGTTTGTCTTTTGGTTCAAATATAAACCAAACTCTTGCTCTGGCACTTCCCAGCGCATGTAGTGTTCAAACACCTCCTGTTAGCCAGTGTAAAGGCATAATTTTTCATTTTTTCGGTTTTTTTTTGGAAACTCAATTACGAGCTTAAAAGATGTGTTACTTTACAGAGGCTGCAAATGGACCAGCCTTTTCCCCTTCGCTTTCACGGATCGGCTCCCCTGCAGATGGTTCTGATGAACAGGCTAAGAGTCCTACTACTACCACCATTCCCTCTGTTCCTCAAGGTATATATGACTATGTTTCTGCGCTAAACACCAATGGTGCTATGTAGCATTAAGTTTTTAGATGAGGTGTTTTGACACTTCCACAAATATAAAGATGCATTATTCTTTAATACACAAAATCGAGGATAATCTCAAGTTAGACAACCTTAAAGAAGATTCAAAATATTGACGACAAAGTCACTAAACTAAGAATGATGCTATTATCTTGATGAATCCATGATACAGGAACGGGATCAAAGACAGTACCAAATACCAGTGGGAGAACTTATGATGGAAATATCATCAAATCGCCGATTCATCTCGCGACGGTGGCTTTATTGGTTGCTGCCACCAGGATGAACTTTTAGGCTTCCTGAGGAGTTTTATGCCTGTTACATTTTTTTTTTGTAAACAGAGTTATTCTGCCTGTTTTGAATGCTTACAACCTGCTTATAATTGTTTCTGTATCCACTTATTCTCTATTGTTTTCCAGAGTTTGTACTAAAGGAAATTGATTTTACTTATTTTGTCATTAACTACTTGGGCATTATCATACAGCTGTGGCTCTATTTCTATCAGTTCCATCTATTTATAAATTATTGGAATTTTTCATCAAATTATATCTTATCCTTAATGAGGTTGATCGCCCAAGCTCTCAGCAGTTTTGGCCTAAGTCCTAACCACCCTAGCATGCCTTGCCATAGGTCTGCTTACCTCTAAAAAAAAAAAAATTATCAAGTTTAGATATTCAAACTTGTGACCAACGTTAGCCGACAATCTCACACGTCAAACTCATGAGCAACTTGCGGCTAAGAGCCCCAAAAGGCAAAAATAGAACTTCTGAAATAATGGAGTGATACTTGATTTGTAAAATTATTTTTTAAAACATCTCATATTTCAACTTAGAGCAGTCGAATCCGAACCGAATCGAGCGGTTCTTCATAAGTTATCCGAACGGGTATTTGAATCGAGAACAGTTGGGTTCGGTTCGGTTCTCGGTTCTAGACTAAGAATCAAAGAACCGAATCTAAATAATTTTTTTAGTTTTTTATATTGAATTAATTAAATTATTTTAATTTTTTCTAAACAAATTAGAAAATTAACTAATTTAGTTGAACAAATTTTAGTTTATTTGTGTTTGTTAATTGTGTTTTTTCAATTATACTTCTAGAGTTTCTTNTTGATATTTGTATACATTGAATTAATCTTATTGGATAAGTTGTTATTTATATATTTTTAAATTGAGTTACGTTAATTTGTAAAAGTTGCGAATGAACATTTCATTAATTGTATTTATGTAATGCTACTGTAAATGTTAAAAAAAATAATTACGGTACGGAACTGAATCGAATCGAACCGAATCGAACGGAACCAAACCCCGAAGGATTCTATAATTATATTTGGATCTGACGGTTCCATTTATTAAATACCCGAAAATTTTGATTCGGTTCAGATTTTGGTTCGATTCGGTTATCTTCCAAACCGAACTGACTCATGTCCAGCTCTATTTCAACTTATAAATACAATAGCAATATTAGACCTAATTTCCTCATTGAAACATTTTGTATTTTGAAAAACTACAAAATATTTAAATAATTTGTATTTTGCTCATTTTAATTGGTTTAAAAATAGACGTTTCAACTAGCAATCCCATCTATTTTATTTTATAATTAGATAAAAAAATATTTAATTACACACGTTAATAATTAATTTTGTAATTATAATTAAGAAATGGATTATGTGGTAGTGGTAGAAATATCACACCATTGATGCTGGAACCAGCTTGCAAAAGACCCACCGAATAAGAGAAATAGTCCATTCCAGAATCCAAATCAAGCCCAAAATCACAGCACGTGCATAGCACGTGACATTCGGGTTGTCTAACAAGCAGAGCATGGAATATCCTCATTCATGCCAATTCTATACCAATTGTTAGGGTAATTTCTTGTTCAGTTTTCACACAATCTTTTAACAAAATCAATCTCACCGACCGAGAAATATATAGATGTGTGTATGTCTTTACGTGAATACAAAATGTGATTGTGATACTTGAACAGTATTTGTTAGTTCTAGAATCCAAAAGGAAAAACAAACGCTCTAGGACCTGGGCATGTTGTTTTTTCCCGAAATTTTTCATCTTTTTGGAGAATGTTTGAAACCCAGTTGAATTCTTGTTCTCTTCATCGGGTTCGTTGTTTTACAGGTGATTCTGATTTTGTTAATCAACATTGAATTCGATTTTTCCTACGAATTTCTATATAATCTTTAAATCTTATGAATCTTGTAGTTGTATCTTTTAATTTTGAGATGAACCCATGCCTGAAATCCTAAAATATGGTGGCGCACTTGTAATTTTATTATTAAATTTTTTGCCCTTTTAGCAGGGTGATTTTTCTTTTTCACTAGATGGATGTTAGGGTGTGAATCTATTTTTCTGGGTTTGATTAAAGATTTTAGGAATTTTATGCTGTGGGGATTGTCAATCTATGGAGTGAATGATCCCCTTCATCCATTGACTCTTGCTGAGTAGCGAAAATGAACGTATATATTTTTTTTATTTCATGTTTCAAATACAAGTAGATATTTGTAAAAGGGAGTTTTAGTAGTCCTCTTGTTGAAATTAACTCCATATTTTTTCTTCTCAAACAAAGTTGAGAGCCTTGCCTGTGCTTGTGAATGTTGTATTGGAAGGACAAGTATAGATTCTATTTAATGTAACATTTATGAGAAGGATGAGAAATTATGCTTATGTAGAATCTTCTGTGCTTGTTGAACTGCATTTGCATGAACCCTAACTCTGGAGTTTCGGCCTTGTTAATATATAACACTGATGATCTCATTCATAAATTTTGAGCTGAATGGCCATTCATGTCCTATTGCCTTGTTTCTGAGGTGTACTTATGTATTAAGGCGGTGGTTTGAAATAACTGAAATATCGTTCTTGATTTATTGACAGGGGTTGTGACGTTATTCATTTGGAACACATTTTTTGTTCTCCTTGATTCTGTGCACGCATGCAGAAGCATATATTTAAAAGCTCAATGAAATGCACACCTGCACGCTAAGTGCAGTGAGGTGTGTCCTTAGTGCATTATAGTGTTGTAATTGTTTTGAAGGTGCCCAACAAGCTCAGGTGCTAAGAATGCAAAGCATAATACGTTCTGTTCTTCGTAAAATTCGGTTTCTTGAATCCTTTTCATCTAAATCGGTCATTTCACTTTAGTTTCTTACGTGGAGTTTATGTTTTTGTGGTTATAAATTGAATGGCTTATTAAAGTACTTGATCCGAAACTGCTTAGGTTCTGATTTTGCTCAAAATAGTGGTAAAAAATGAACTTATGTTAGCTCAAATTTATTGAGAATTAAATTTCTATTGCAGAAAATATTATGCACATGTGGATATTTTTCACTTGGAATCTATGATAAGCACCAACACGTCACATGTCAGACACATTGACACGCTATTTTTAAAAAAAGTACTAACACGATATGTCATCGACACATTGATTAACTTTTTTAAATTCTTCATTTATATCGTATAAATAGTTTTATATTTGTTATGAACACTCTTGTCGAAATCTTTTAAAGGGATAATTGTAACAAAAGCCACAAACATTTGAAACATTAACAGACTTTTTCGAAACCTTTGATTTGTTGCAGCCGTCAGCCTTAACCTTTCCAACCATTGCATATGAGGCACTTTTGGATGGTTTCCATCCATTTTTCCATCAGTTGACCACAAAAATTAATGTTGACCACATTTTAATCAATTTTAAAAGGGCAAAACAGTAATTTAATATTTTTTTCCATAAAATAAATAAAAACTTAGATCAAAAACCAAGAAAAGATAAAAAAAAACCTATCTTCTTCATCAACAAGCCCCACCCCCCAAAACCCATTGCCACCGTTCACCGCCACCTCTCCCTCCATCGGATTACAATAAGATACGCCATTTTCCCCTTCATTTCTATCCTCAAAATTGAAATCGAACCACAACAACCCAATAGCAACCATTACCTCTACCTCCATTGAGGCCCTTCCAAAAAAATAACCTCTGGAAATAGATAGAGCATTGAGATAGTCCTAATACAACCATAGATCTTGAATTGGATATTCTAATTTCCAAATTTCTCTTTTAAAAATCCATTTAATTCCCAAATAAATTCTGATTTTTCCTTGTTCGAATATTTCACTACAGCCACAAATCTTGAACCAGGTCTGCTTTCAGGACAAGACCATTAATTGCTCCCCTTCTCAAATTTTGGCTACTAAAAGATGGGAGTGAAAGTTGAAGATCCAAATATAGATTCAACAAGTTTGACAGTTGGGCTTTGATTTCATTGTCTAAGTTGGTCTTGCTGTTGTGGGTTGTCGTGGTGGATTTACCGGTGGTGGTGGGTCGGTTTTGGTTTTTTTTAGCCAATGGTCGACAATTGGCGCCGATAGGGTGTTTTTTTTTTCTTTTTTTTTGGGTGGGATTTGTTGTGGGGTGGGGTGGAGGTTGGGTAAAGAAGAGATCATTTCTTTTCTTTTTCCTTTTTTAAATTTTTTATTCAATTATCATTTTATTTAATTATTTTAATAGATATTTACTATTTTGCCCCCTTTTAATTGATTAAAAATATGGTCAAACTTAATTTTTGGGTCAACTGACTGAAAAATGGATGGAAACCATCCAAAAAGGCCTCACATGCAATGGTTGAAAATATTAGGGATGACGGCTGCAACAGATCAAAGATTTAGGAAAGTCTATTAAGGATTCAAAGGTTTGAGGCTTTTGCTGGAATTATCCCTCTTTTAAATTTGAGTATCTATTTGTTATTTAATAATAATTTTAAGTTAAAAATGTATAATATTTCTAAGAGAAAATGACCATAATAGAGTGTTTGTGGAGTGTCGGACACGCAACCCTTGTTGAAACTTTCGTGCGATAGAGCTTGAAATATAATGAGTGGCTTTTTGAGGCATGTGTGTAGGAACTAGGAAGCATTACGGACATCGATATGCTATCTTAGTTGAAGTGTCCGTGCTACAGAGCTTGGAATATAATGAGTGGCTTTTTAAAGCATATGCGTAGGAACTAGGAAGCATTATTTCCTTGATAGCTTTGCACATTTAACCACTATGGGTAATGAGTGCATGGCAATATCATACTTGATTGTTTGTTGCAAAATTGTAGGTATTTTATCTCCTTATGATAGAGAATTAAGTACTATAGCCTGTATAGGTACCTATGGTGGCCTCTAGCCAGAACTCACGTGTTAAGTGGCATGATATATTTACACTCGGATTACCTCTTTCAGTGGAATTGTTAGAGCAATCGTGTTTAGTGAATCAATAATGCTTTGTTTTCATGTGACATGGCATGGTAAAACCTTTCATGTTCCTATTTGTTCAAAGTCATAAACTGATCCTTTTTGGATGTTTTGCCTATTTGAATATGCTCTCAGAATGCTTGCATCCCTCACCATTAGAGTTTTTTTAATTAATCAAGCTGTCAAAATGCATGACTCTGAGAGACTTTTGTTTGAAGCACTCATCCCTTTATTGATTTTACTTATTTATGTGGTATTTTAGGTAGTATGTTTTGAAGCTGTCTCCACCGAGTACCGAATCGTGATTGCTTAAGAAAGAAAGAATCTATATACAAGATAGTGCACGGTAATGTCTGGACTTATTGAAGGCCTTCCTGATGCTGTCGCCCTCAGGTGCCTTGCACGGGTTCCCTTCCATCTTCATCCGAAGTTAGAACTAGTTTCGCGCTCCTGGCGAGCTGCCATTTGTAGCACTGAACTCTTTAAAGCCCGTCAAGAGGTGAACTCTACTCAGGAATTTATATGTGTTTGCGCATATGACCCTGACAATCTATGGCAGCTTTATGATCCTCTGCATGACCTTTGGATAACTCTCCCGGTTCTTCCTTCAAATATTAGGAACCTTGCCCACTTTGGTGTGGTCTCTGTTGGCGGAAAGCTTTTTGTGCTAGGTGGTGGAAGTGATGCTGTGGATCCTTTGACTGGTGACCAGGATGGAAGTTTTGCTACTGATGTAGTATGGTCGTATGACCCAGTATCTCGGCAGTGGGCCCTACGTGCACCTATGATCGTGCCTCGTGCAATGTTCGCATGCTGTGTGGTGGAGGGGAAGATAATTGTGGCAGGTGGTTTTACCAGCTGCAGGAAGTCAATCTCTAAAGCCGAAGTCTACGATCCTGACAAGGATGTCTGGGTTTCAATACCCGATCTCCACCACACTCACAATTCTGCATGTACAGGAGTGGTTATTGGGGGTAAGGTTCATGTCTTGCACAAGGGATTGTCAACTGTGCAAGTTTTGGACAGTATTAAGCAGGGTTGGACTGTTCATGACTATGGTTGGCTTCAAGGTCCTATGGCAGTCGTTAAGGGGAAGCTGTATGTAATGAGTCATGGCCAAATTTACAAGCAGGAGAGGGAATTCAGCAAGTTGGTAGTTTCGGCATCTGAGTTTCGTCGAAAGATAGGTTTCGGGATGATAGGGTTGGGAGATGATATTTACATAATTGGAGGAGTTATAGGGCCTGACAGGATGAATTGGGATATCAAGGTGACAACCGACGTTGATGTTCTGTCGCTTGGAAATGAGAGACCGGTTTGGCATCAGGTGGCTCCTATGACACGTTGCAGGGGACCTGTCCTCGGATGTGCACAGCTGAAGATTTAAGTCATTTATGCAGTGCTTGAAAGAAGAGATCCGCCCTTTTCCCGGCCTGGTTTTTTACACATATTGCTTTCCTTTGCCTAGAGTTTGGACGAACTTTTTTATGGTCGTTCAATGCCTTTGAAAGAGACAGTGCACCGCTGTTACTTGCAGCAAAAAACAGTGTATTAGAACGAAGAAACCTTTTAATGTTCTCTCGTTTATATTGGAGGTTCGTCTCGTTTCTGTAATCGCACCTGGAATTATTTGTTTCGTATTTGAGTATTCTGCTTTTGAGCTTACCTTTATGGCAGTCATAAATGGTTCATTTTGCATCTCTTGTGCATGGTGCTCTTATTTTTGCTTCTGAGACGTGCTCATTCATCTTTTATTTTAAATGCAATTTACTCGATTTTTATATCGATTTGTAGTAACACAAATAATAGTTGTTCACACGGTCGAGCCAAGGAATGAGCATTTAGAAATTGTGACCGTTCGATTTAAATAGTCAAGGCGTCAACAAAAAGTATTTGAAAAAGTGCCGGAAAATGAAGTATTCTTCATTTTAGTGCTATTTTCGTAAATAACTTAGGAGCTTTTAGTTGAAAAGCCCTGAAAATTGTGAGCCTTTGAATAAGGCTAGCCCAATAAATTTTTAATTGTTGGACTCTAAACCAGCCCAAATACACAAACCCTTATTGAACCCTAATTTGAAAGTGGCTGTTCTGAAAATCAAAATCAAAGAAAATGGAGGAAGAAAACGACAAGAACCCGGAGACAGATGTAGCTCCGGCCGTAATATCTGTTCACCCGACCCATAAGTTTGTTTCAGCTGCCGTTGGGTCGGACCTGAGAGTCTTCAATTTGCAGTAAGAAACATACTTATCTGTTGTATTAGTAAAGTAGGATCCAACGGAATTATTGAAACTTTTTCTGATGTTATAATTCATTTGCAGGGAGGGTTGTGTAGTTACATTGACAGATGAATCAGGAGGCCATAAGGACTCAATTCGCGCTATTCGTTATAGCGCAAATGGGCAGCTCTTTATATCTGCTGGAGATGATAAGCTTGTGAAGATTTGGGCCACTGATTCTTGGCGTTGTATTTATTCTGTGTAAGTCGTTATGAAACAATAAAGTTATTTTTTTGTTGAATATTTGAGTGATTTTACAGGTGTATGCATCAACAATTTCAAATTTTTATGTGCACTTAAAATTTTTTAATAGTACTGGTGATATGATGATTTCACTGAATTGACTGCGTGTTGCTGTTAATGTTGTTAACAGGGCTTCGGAAAAGAGAGTGAGTGCTGTTGCTATAAGTAACGATGGGATGTTTGTTTGTTTTGCGGATAAATTTGGAGTTGTGTATGTTGTGGATATAGAAGATCACAATGTGGAAGAACTAGTTCCTGTTATTAAGAAGGGCGTTCCCATTCTTTCCCACTATTGTAGCATAATTACTAGACTGGTACGGTGTATATATATTGTTTAATATTTTTATTTTTATCTTTTTCTTCTTGTTATGTGAGAGCTCAGTTAATTACGATTTGATTAATTGCCGTGGTTGCTCTTCATGCTTCTATGTAGTGTAAATTCATACTGCTATTATTTTGTAGTCACAGTCTTGAATTATGGATAGTTTGGTGGAGAAAGATTCATTTATTGTTTTACCATATCTTTAGCATTCTTATTTAAGTGGCATTGGTTGGGTCATTGTTTTACGGGAACTATTTTGCATTTCTGAGTATCATCTTACAGGAATTTTCACCAGATGGACGATTCATTGTTAGTGCTGATCGAGACTTTAAAATTCGTGTAAGAGAACATCAGTGGACATTTTATGGTATGCTTTATCTTTTTAGTGAAGGGGTTACCTTACTATCTTTGTTGCAGGTTACTGTCTTTCCAAAGAATCCAGTAAATGGAGCTCATGAAATACAGAGCTTTTGCCTTGGTCACACAGAGTAAGTGCTTCTCATAATCCCTAAGCATTTGATTCATTATCCATCAATCATGTAGAGATGCATTAAATGTTAACCCTGATTATGCAAATTACCATGAATTAGTAGTGGCCATGGCAAAGATCATCTATATAAAATGTCCGGACTCCACAATCTTTGGCATCATTAGTTGAAGAGGCAGTTCTTATAAATCGCGAGTGAGTAAAATATCTGGTTACCCAGTAACCCCAATAAATTACCTTACTTCTGTCTGGTCTTCAGAATTTGAGGTCTGTTTGAGCCACATTATTTTGGAAGAATGTATTTTGGAATAGTAGATTGATGAAGAATGTCTGGTTGAAAAAGAAGGAAAAATTATTGATGTGATAGAAAATATTATTTTATTGAAAAATGTATGGATGGAAATGAGTAAAATAATGAAAATAAAAATTTTAATGCGACTCAAACACGTGCTTAGGTGAATAATAGACTAAACTTGAATTCAAATCTAACTAATACTGAAAGAACACTTTACCTATTATCTGAGTGCAAACTTTTTTCTTCTTTCTAACTTTTGGCTTCTATTATTTCACATTAAATTATAATTTATTTTTCTCTATATTTTTATCAATCACATATTATTTAATAAAATAATATTATACGTAAATTAAAAAAAAAATCTTATTTTTAATCACACATTCTCTAAAAAATTATTAATCATCTGACTATAATATGAAATAATGGGAAGCATCACCGATTGCAAGGCGGCTTGATGGTGATGTTTTAAGCATCTTTGAATTTAACTACAATAATGTTCATTAAAATTATAAATATTTTAAACATGCAGAGAAAATTAAGGGTGTGTTCTGTAGAGATTAAAATAGGATTGAAATTAAAAAATTAGTCGTTATTGTTGACTTTTATTAGACTAGTGGGACCCAATAACGTGATATAAAAGTTAAAATTAACGAGGGTTTGTACGAGATTTATATGAATAATGTTGTGGAACAATTTTAAACCGTAGAAAGCAAAATTAAAAACAAAATATGAAAGTTTTTTTTAACCTTTCCTTTTGCCTTTATGAACTTGGTCAGGAGAGAAAATATTTTATGAAATTTAATGGATAAAATTAATTAAATAATTTATTCAGGTCAAGTTGTACAGTGGCTTTTTTGCATATGCAGGGCTCCATTATTTCAATTTATAACGAGAGAAATAGCATTTTTTATAGAATGCGCGGTTGAAAAAGATAGAATTTTTTAAAATTTATATATAATATTATTTTATTAAAAAATATCTTATTAAAAGGAATAGATAAAAAAATGTACGATTTTGCTACGGGTACATCACCCCTTACACAAGGGGTGACATAATGGCCAAGTGGCGCCTCCTCATTGGAGGGGCGACTCGGCCCACATGTGGGGCCTTAGCTCTCCTCCCATGAGGAGGCGTCACTTGGTCATTATTCACTCCTTGTGTAATGAGTGATGTACAAGTAGCATTATTCAAAAACGTATTATAAATTAATGGGGTCAGATGGGACGTGATAAAAATTGTTAGAAACATTATATAGCATGCGACTTATATAACAAAAATAAAAACGAAGAGAAGGAAATGGCAAACCGAATAAACGCTAAACAAAATTGCAGAAAACAGTAGATTGAGGCTAGAGTTCGACTCTATTTCCTTAAGACGATTTTGGCCTGCTACGGTGCTTACAGTTGACGCCAATCGCCTCCCAAGATACAACAATCAACTTATTTTCAACTTTGACCAATAAAATTATTATTTATTCTAAAACTTACTGCTATACTTTTAATTAAACTTGTAAAACTTAGCCAAACATGCAGGAGATATTGAACGTTACTTCATGCTTTCAATCCTTAAATCTGCAATTTGAGTTTAGCAATATATAAACTTCAGCTTAACAAACATATTTAATGTTTCAAACAATCATATTTTTAGTGTGCAAGCGGTCTATCATATACACGAGTATTTATCATTTTCCCCCAATTTTGTTCTTCTGCCTTTTTGTTCCCTTACATCATGTGGACTGATGATTAGTATTGAAGCTCTGACATCGGGCTCTCCTTTTACGTTAGATTTGTAATGTAGTTTGAGGTTCTAGCTTCTTGTCTATCATTTTTCAGTAGTCTTCCGACAGTTTCATCTTTTCTGGATTTTATTTTCTCGACATTTTATAGGCAGAAATTATAGATTTTAATGGAAAAGAAGAGGAGATCTTGCCTGCTGTCACTGATTTATGTGCGACCCCTGATGGTTCACTAGTTGCAGTAGCCATTCAGAGGTTAGCTACATTTTATTTATTAATTTTCATCTGTGGACAGTAATTTTTGGATTTTTTTCATATGATTATGATGTTAAGCTTCGTATTCTAATTTTAGCTTGTCTGGAGTATTGCTGTTAAGATGCAACCAATCCACCAGAACTCTATCTGTTGCCAAAGTGAGTAGTTTTGTTTTTTAAAAGTGAGGAAATATCTTGATTGCATTGGGAAAGTTGTACTGTTGGTCCCTAGGTAATAACCTAAGCAGCGAGTTGGTCTCCAGCCTTTACAAAGGAGCTGAGTTGTCGTCAACTACGATTTACTGGAAACTTGACGGTATGTGTCATTGAGGACTCTGTGCAACTACAACGAAAGGTTGGACCAACTTGCAACACGGGTGATAGGTTAGGGGCCACCAATGCAATTATCTCGAGCAAATTTGCCCTGCGTATATTAACCATGACTTGTATGTAATGAATGGTTCCCTTCTTTTGGGTAGGTCGTTTCCATCCCAGGAGAGACTTTCATTCCCACTAGCATAGGGGCCGCTTCTTCATCCCCAGTGTTATGGATGGCCATGGGTGCATCCAGCTTACACGTTTCTGAATCTGTATCTTTGGCTCGTGTGAGGGGCATCTCGGGTTTTAGTACAAGCGCTTCTGAGTCTTTAGACCACAACACGTCAGTCTTGGAAGATGCAGAAATACCTGGAGGGGAGTCGCTCCTTCAAACCCTTCAAGGGAAATTGTCAATCGGAAAAGAAGCTTTTTCAGCTGCTGCAGAAGCTGTGAAAACTGCAATGCGCAATTTGTTAATCAAGAAGCAGTATTCAGCAGAGAGACGAGAATTCAGAAAGAGAGGCAGAAACGATGTGAAAAGCAAACAATAGCTTAGTTTCGACACTAGCCAAGTCTTCTCGCTCGTTCAATTTTTTGGGGGAGGTAATTCTTCATAGTGTCTTAGGATTTCTTGCAATCTTGTTAGTGTAAGAGTTATGAATTCAAGGAAGGTGGTGTACCATAGGTAATTTTTACATGGTGAATAGGTGTAATCTTGGCCACGCCTCTTTGAATTCTGGTTGACTCATTCTTGAGACGCCATTGGTTTCTTCAGCAGATTTTTACTTTTTATGGAGACATCAATTATGCAATTTTGGCATGTTTAGTAAATCAAGTGGATATTAGAATTCGACTGGACAATATTAAAGAAAAGTAATTAAATTTAGTATATTGTTTTTACCAAGTAATAAACTCACTTATAAGTAAAACGCTACTTATAATTGAAATTTTCACTTATTAGTAAAAATACTCATAAGTAAATTTTTAGTTAAAAGTCAAAAAAGTTCAAGTGAGAAACACGAGTAAATTACTTATGAGGTAAATACTCATAATCGTAATTTTTAGTTAAAAGTCAAAAAAAATCATAGTAAAAAAATTCAAGAAATTTACTTATAAATAATAGTATTTTAATATATTTTTTTTGAATACTTATATTTTTCTACTATGGCACAAAAACAACAAATTACAACAATATTCCATAATTCACCTTAATCATATCCTCTAGTCTCATACGTGCCTTCGATATATCTGTGTTATGACAAGAACATTTATTTACCATAAAATGTTTCTATTGTTTTGACATTGTCATTTCGGATACATATTTTTCATACCTAATAGTTACGAAAATAACTCAAAATAAACGCTTTGAATTATTTAAAGAAATTAAATTCTAGCTTGTGCTTACAAGATAAGAAAACAAATTCATAATGCCAAATAGATATATGTTTATAGAATAATATTTATCTCTAGATTATTTTGAGGTGAAATCAAAGAATAAACCCAATTTTCTATCATATTTGTACATAAATGTTGGCTTGCAACATAGGAATTGCGTGCATTAGGATTTAGGACAATGACTTGCATTTATATGTATTCTCAAATCATTTTCATAAAAACGAAAATGAACACTAGAAACCAAAAGAAGTAGAGGTGGGCCCTTATCTTGCTGGCGTTGTTTTATTTGTTTTTTATTTTCTCTCACAATAATGCATCTTAAGAGCATGTTTGGGTAAAGTCTAGAAGTGACATTATAAGTAATTTTTAAGCTTTAAAAAAAAGGCTCTTATTCTTCTTCTTTAAAATGGAAACAAAACAAGCAGTCTCCACCCTTTTTCTCACTTGTCTCCACTTTCTGGCAAGTTGCTCTGTCTATTTTCTTGATTGAATTGAAAACACACTCACATAGATACACGAAGGCTATTGAATCTTGTTGATCATCAATGCAAATCTGAGCTTGATTTTGACTATTTGCTTGTATGGAAAAAGAGAAAAAAAGATTGGGTCTTTTTTATGTCAGTTTTGGTGTTCAAATCATGGAGGCTAATGGGATTTATCACTGTTTTCTACCCTTTTCTTTTGTTCTATTTTTCATAAATTCCAGCTTTTGAGTGGAAAAGCCAATTTTTGCTTTTTCTTTTATGACTTTTTCCAGTTCAGTGCCTTTAGCTGTTACTCAAGAAGGGCAACATTTCCAAAGGTTTCAGGTTAGTTATCTTTAAACCCATGTTCATTTTCTTCTTGAATTTATGGGATTTATAATTATTTTTTTCTCTCTTTTGTTGTTGTTGTTGTTATTCTTGCAGTGAAAGTTTGGTAAAATATCTAACCAAATAGAGATTAGAGATACTGATGTTGAGTAATAAATCTAGAGCAATGACTAGCCCAAAAAATCCCACAGCCTCAATTTCATCTTTCTTGGGATCACCAAGATTTTTTAATGGCATTTTAACAAAGAATATTTCTGAGGTAGAATCTGTAGTAATGAGTCCAACCTCAATTCTTGACACAAAAAACTCATCAAATTCTGCTAACCCTTTTGGCTATGAAAAAAATAGGTCCAAATCCTCAATTCCATCTCCAAATTCTTGTAATAAACTAGACTCAGAAGCCATTGGACTTGCCTTGATTGACTCGATCAATGATGAGAAAAATGAAGGGAATTTTTCAAAGCCGATTAGCAGAATGGTTCTGTTTGGATCAAAACTTAAAGTTCAAATTCCAAACCTTGTTCCCTCTTCGATTTCCCCGGTCGAATCACCCAAATCTCCAGCTGATTTTGGAATTAAGACTAGGGATTCTCAGTTGTTGAGTCCTTTTTCTAGCATCCCAGCAAAGGATTCCCCTCAGAGTTTTACTAGGCAGCTATCTTTGAAGGAAATGGAACTTTCTGAGGACTATACTTGTGTAATCACTCATGGGCCTTATCCAAAAACAACACATATATTCGATAACTGCATTGTTACAAGCTGCTGTGGAGATCTTAATTTGTCTGATAACAAAAGGGAATTTGATTTTGAAGCCAATTATTCAGTTTCTCCTTCTGTGGATTTTCTCAATTCTTGTCATACATGCAAAAACACTCTTGGAGATGGCAAAGATATTTACATGTACAGGTTAGTCAAATTTTTGTTCCGCCTTCGATTATGAAAATTGTGTTCGTTTCAGGCAAATGAATCTGTCCTGCAAGTGAGGACGTTTAAAATTTTAGGTGAAATGGTTGAACAGATTTAGAATCTATTACAGTCCAATGATTTACATACATGGAATGGCTTGAATTCAGAAAATTATTGAGTTGAGCCAATTGTGTCTTTGCAATGATTTCATGGGAGTTCATAATTCAGAAAAGTTGCTCATCTTTTATTTCTTTATTGTTTCAATGATTCAATACTTTAAAAATTCATCATCATTTTCTGGTGCAAAAGTGATTATTTAAGTGATTTTTCTCTCTTTACAGGGGTGAAAAAGCCTTTTGCAGCCATGAATGCTGCTGCCAAGAAATGCTTTTTGAAGGGATAATGAAGCCAGAGCTGGATGATTCTTTTTGAGACTTGTTATGTTATAAATTCACCATGTTTCCCTTTCTTGCTACAGAAGTATATAGCATCTTTAAAGGGATTTTATGTCCTCAATTTGATGAGTTGGAATAATTTACTCGAAAATTTCACCATTTTGATGTTTTCTTTGTACCTTTTGCTTACAAGGTTCAAAAATTGTACTGTTTTTGTCCATCATCCATACAATTTGCCTTCATTTGTGGACATGTCAACAACCATAATTGAAAGAATGCTCGATTTATGGCTAGGCAAATCGAAGTTCTCTTTGAATAAACCATGGTGTTCTGTATTTCATTACACGAGATAGAGAACCATTATGCATATATGTATATATACATGCATACAAAAATATTGCTTGTGTTGCTTTCACAAGAAATTTCGTGTTCGGTACAGATTAAAATCGAAAAATTAGCCATTATTGTCGAATTTTATTAGACGAGTGAGATCCAATAACGGCTATATTTTCAATTTTAATTAGATTTTAATTTTTACTAAACAAGCACAAATATGTTGATGAGGATCATCTCAAAGATTGTTTATTTAGTTGTTTAAATGGAGTAACAGACTACTTAAAGCCAATAATCAAAGCAATGCGTCTTACTCTCGAGAATTTCAAGACCCTAGATCCTTGTTTAACCTCCATTATCTAGAATTCATTTTTCAACCTCGTGTCTTTGGACCCACAACTTCTATTATTAACATTTAGGTACCATTGATTTGATGTAGTTAAAGAAGCACATGTAAAGATTAGCAACGACAATTAGAGCTTCATATGTTTTCAAGTTTTGTCCAAAACAACATTTTCCAACAAACTTAAGACGAGACAATATAAAACACTCGAAACTTAAACCATACTCGACAAGTATGGTGTTACAAAAAACACTATAAAACGGAGCATAACCAACATCTAGACGATCCACGAAACAAAATGCACAACATTTCCCAACAGACTTGCTATAACAAACAGAATCAAAAGTACGATGGAACAATAATACCACAAGCTTTGCAGACAACTCCTGCAGATTCTTCTTCGATTAGCTCTTTCCCAGAACTGGTAAAACGTAAAACAAAATGTCAGCGAAGACATTCATGATACAATATCATCATAAAAAGACAGCGAAAACAAGAAAATATTACCTGTGAACAGCTTTGTGTGGTCAACAATCTCCAATGTCTAACGGCTTTAGAAAGAGAGGTGGAGAAACCCACTCCCAACAACAGTGGACAACAAAGGATATGGGGGGCCTTGCAAGAAGAGCTCGATATAAATCGAGCCTAAGAACTAAGAGCTGAAGTGAAATCATTTATCTCTACTTTCCTTCCCATATTTCCTTTAAAAAAATCAGAAAATATGGTAAAGGGAAAGCCACGTCTTTGCAGAGCAAAGACAAGTCGGATCCTATTTGAAAAGCTAGAGAAAAAAAGAAAAGAAGTGAAGAGGATAAAGGAGGTAAGAAGATTGAATGAAATCAGCTAATTCAGACATCCATAAACACAAAAGTACGAATAAGAAGCCCAGTAAACAGGTATTTGAACTGAAGAGAACAAGGGCAATGGCTAAATCAAATATCAGGCTGGGAGAATTGGTTGAGAGGGAGATGAAACAAAATCCTATCCAAACTAATCAGATCAGGATGCTATAGTATGTACAACTTGCATATAACTAAAAATCTAACTCTTAACTGAAAACAAGGAGAAATAAACTAACAGAATGAACAATGCTATGAGGAAGATATACTGGAGGACGGGAAATCAATACGTCATATGATCAAACGGAATGCAGCCCCCTATAAGTAGAACAGATGATTGAGCAGTCAATTTGGTAACCATGTCAAAAGGACTAAATGCCGACTATCTATCACCATTTCAATGGATTGCCAGTCATCAATTATAGCTTCTGCTTCAAGTACCTTTGGCCTAGTTAATATCCATGTTCAAGCGACCAAATGAAATTCTACTGTACCCAACCAAACCCCCACATCAACTTTTCAGATATCTGAAGATAGTCAACCAACCAAACCATTAACAGCTCTTGCACCAGCAACACCACCACCATTTCCGAAAACCTAATGAAACTACAAGCAAGTTGTGCTGCAAACATACTTTATTCAATAATATATACATATACTACTAACTCACTTTCCAAACTAAACCAGTATCCTTATTTACAGGAGCCTTGACCGCTCCCAGCACATCATTCATCAGCAATATCAAGATTGAGGATGCGACGAAGGGTCTTAGTCGCAGAGTCAGCACTATCAAACAGATCGGTAGGCGAGAAACTATGCCCCCCGGTTGGGGAAGCAGGGGCAGATTTAGCCATAGGGGGTAAATCAAATTCAGTGGCTGCTGTACACAAGTCAAGTGAAACCGCCCTTTTCGATCGGAGTGAAAATTTTGGCATGGGCAAAGAACTTGGTGGAGGTGAGCAGGAATAAGCAGGTCCAGCCCAGCGTTCAGAGAAATGGAAATCATCCAAACAATCCCCCTCTTTGTTATCGAACTTGATCTCAATTGGGATTGGAATCACTCTACTTTTTGAGTTCTTTTTCGAGCTTTTGTGGTCTTCATTAACAAAAGTTGACGAGGTCTCGGGTGAAATTGAATTGGAAAACTCCCTTTTGCTAACAGGGGTTGTCGTGCAAGAATTATGCCGGTTTGGAAGTAACCCTGCACCGGACTGGAAAGCACGGCAATTGATACCCTCATGAGAATTACCACTAGGCAGGGACCCATATCGAGCCGGTCCATGCCCACGATTTCTACCATAATATTGATGATGATTCCTATGATGACCAACAGCAACTAAAGTCTCCATCTCCATTAATTCACCGAGATCTATCAGTTTGTTCAACTTCTCCCTGATTCACAGATCTTAATTTCTAAGATAATTTAAAAAAAAAAAAAAAAACCTGGAACAACTAACTCCGAAAATAAGGTCTTTGGGTTTCCATTACTACAAAACGATAAGAAAATTTAGATCTTCTCCATAACCACCAGAATCTGAGCAGATGCACATTGATTTCAGTAAACACGACCCATACATCGAACATAAATACGTATTCGTATGTATCCACAAGCACCACCCTCTCACTCTTCAGTTTCTTCAGATCTATTCAAATCACATCAAAACCCAAAAATTGAAAACTGAAACAAAAAATACACTCACGTTCAAAAAGAACTAGAACGATGTACTCATTAAACAAAAAAAGAAAGAATAGAAAATCAAATGAAATCAAAGTTGATGAGAAAATACCTGATCATTTGAGTGAAGACTAAGGAAATGGTGCAGATTCGCGAGATGGATGCGTTAGAGTGAGATTTTTTTCTCTCTCTAAATATGTGAGTGTATAGGAGTATGAGCACTAGACTTGTAGAAAGAGAAAGATCAGACGGCAATTGAAGGTTCAGATTTCACAGCCTTGAAAGCGACTTGGTTCTTTCATTTTTCGTTTAAAGCAGATTCTGCGGATCTGAAAAAGAGTCAATTGCGTTTAAATGTTGCCATAGGCACGGCGTACTGGAGGATAGGTGATTTACCAAAAGTGCCCTTTAAGTTTTTGTAAATTCCACCTGAAGTCTCCAACTTTGTTAAAGTGTCAATTCATTTCTTAAACTTACTATCCGTGACGCACAGGTACCAACATTTCAAATCTGTACAAGCATGGTCCCCATAAGTTTGAAAGGCCAAGGACATAGATACACAAATAACAAGTTGAAAACATGAATGTCACACTTTAAAAAAAAAAAAACCAATGTGGCAAGCTAAAACTTACACTATAATTACAATTACTTGGACTTGGCGAATTGCAAAGAATAGATTGTTCAAGCAAGAGAGTCTAGAAGGAAAATTTGTGCCATTCGTTCTCAACCAATGGTCTCGATAGCAATGTCATCCTCATTCTATAATTTGTGAAAAGAAGATCTTGAATTTAAGAGTTTAGTTGTGGGTTGGTCCTCACACTCAAAAAATTGATCAATCTAATCCTTAGGGCCTACTTTGGAGTTTCGCTATACCGGTTATGAGCGTTTTTAAAGCACTGATTTGGAGTGTTTGGATCGATTTTGAGTGGTATTAGTAGCGATTTTTAAAACAATCACACCTATACTTGGAAATTTATTATCCACTAGTTCCGAGAAGTTTTTTAAAAGAATCAAATTACGTATATGTCCCTTATTAAAATTTTATTTTGTATGAAATTTTTTTACTCATAACTGATATTTTACTTATAGAGAATTTTTTTTACATATAAGTTAATATTTAATTTAAAATATTAAATAAATTTAAATATTTACTTAAAATTTTAAGTTAATATTTTTTTACATATAGGTAAATTTTACAATTTAAGTTAATTTTATACTTTTAAATAACTTTAAGTGAATTTTTTTACTTATAAGTAATTTTTTTATATTTTATAAGTGAATTTTTGTCTTATTAGTGGTATTTTTATTTTATAATAATCTTGTTTACGTAAAAGCGATTTTTTACTTAAAAGTATTTTTAATTTTAACATAAATTTTTAAATGAAAAGAAAAATTAGTTAATATATTTTTATTTACAATTATTTTATAGAGAGTAAAATTAGAAGACAACATGAAAAACGACCAAAATTCGTCGATTTGTTGGGTTGAGAGAATCACTCAAAATTACACTACATCGATTTTGAGTGATTTTTAAACGATCCAAAATTAGTGCTGAAAACTAGCAAACACCGATTTTCTCAACTCCTCATAAATAGTACTACTCAAAATTGGTGAAAAAAAAACCTCACATGCATGCCGTATTTGAAGATGAGAATTGCCTCAAGTACGGGAGGCAATTCACATGGGCCTGCCAGGTTAGAGACACTGGAGGGCCCCACATGTTTGAAAAATAAGAATAAAAAATCCACCCCACCCCCAATGATGTGTCTTCCCTGTAAACACACTACCCACCCCTCCTGTGAAAAAACCCCTGTACTTGTAGCACAACTCTTCGAAGATAGAATGTTATTATCTATCACCCTTGATATTCGAAGAAGTTAGACATGAGTCAGAACTTTCTAATATGTTGTTGATTATTGATGTTCCTGATTGTAGATGGTAACTGAGGTGTTGGTTCTGTGAAGGACGGTAACTCAAAATGGATTGAAGCAAAGAATTGGATTGGGAAGAAAGAAATGTATGGAGTCTATGGCTTACTTAAGGGACTTCTTCTTTTTTTTTTTTTGATCAGTGAATGTGAATATTATAGATCAAAATCATGTACAAGTACACCGAACATATCCGGGCAAACAAAGGTCATCTTTTTTTTTTTTTTTGATCGGTGAATGTGAATATTATAGATCAAAATCATGTACAAGTACACCAAACATATCCAGGCAAACAAAGGTCAAGTATAAGTACAAGTATACCGAACATACTCGGACGATCAAATATCAAGTACAATACAGATAAACCGAGAAAACAAATGAGAAATAGTACAAACGACAATGATCTAATGACCTAGCGTCAAAGACTCAAGATGAATTTAATCATACGGATACAAAGAAAACATAACTTTGTATGCGTATGTTTTAATCAGTCTAATAACACGATCAACTTGCGCTCTTAGATCTTCAAAAAATTTCATGTTTCGTGCCATCCATAAGAGGTAAACAGAGCTAGCAAGAGCAATTTTCTTAGCCTTACTTTGCCAATATGTCCATCGGGCCTCCTTCTTAGTCTATTTCAATGTACTCAGTAATGTAGATATATATCATCTAATGCCAAGCCACACACAAACTTTTTCCTAAACGGAAGCACTAAACTAACATGTGAAGAAAATGCGTTGTTCCGTCTCAATCCCAATGCCACAAAACAGCAATTTTGGTCAATCTCCAAGTGTGTGTGTTTATCATTAGTAAGCAACTTGGACTTAGCACCAAGCCATAAGATAAAAGCATGCTTAGGGGTGGCGTAAGCATTCCAAACATACATTTTGTCCATGCAATTTTCGGCCCCTTCAACCTGAAATGTTCATAGTAGGGATGTCAATGGGCTGAGCCGAGCCAGCTCGGCCCATACCCACACGAGCTCAGCTCGTACGAGCTCGAGGCTCGTTTCCAACGAAGCTCGGCTCGTTGGATTTTGGCCAAGCGAGCTCGGCTCGTGCTCGAGCTCGCCCAAGGAGAGCAGCTCGCCGAAGGGCTCACCGAGCAGCTCGTGGGCTCGTGCCTACGAGCCTACTCGTGGCTCGTCCTAGACGAGCCCATGAGCCGCTCGGCTCGTGGGCTCGTCTAAATTTTTTTTTTCTAATTTTCTTCTCCTAACATTATATAATCCCCTCCTACATTTTTTTAAAAATAATAAGAACAAAATTTTATTTGTTAAGTTTTGTTTTTTGTTTATCTTTTTTTTTTTTATTAAGGTCCTGT